CCATTGATCCACATTTTTAAACATATTTTTTATTTGAATTAGAAACTAGATTGTTTTACATGTCAATCCCAGTTCCCTCTCCCTCTCCTCCTCCCTACCCCCGGCTAACACCCTACCTATCCCATACCCTTTCTGCTTCCCAGGGAGGGTGAGGTCTTCCACAGGGGTCTTCAGAGTCTGTCATATCCTTTGGGATAGGGCCTAGCCCCTCCCCCTTGTGTCTTGGCTCAGGGATTATCCCTCTATGTGGGATGGGCTCCCAGTGTCCATTCCTATGCTAGGGATAAGTACTGATCTACTACAAGAGGCCCCATAGATTTCCGAGGCCTCCTCACTGACACCCACGTTCATGGGGTCTGGATCATTTCCGTGCTGGTTTCCCAGCTATCAGTCTGGGGGACCAAGAGCTCCCCATTGTTAGGTCAGCTGTTTCTGTGGGTTTCACCAGCCTGGTCTTGGCCCCTTTGCTCATCACTCCTCCTTCTCTGCAACTGGATTCCAGTTCAGTTCAGTGTTTAGCTGTGGGTGTCTGCACCCTCAACCTTTAAATGAACTACTTTTATGATAGTGAAATAACTCTTAGAAATGAATAGCTTAGAAAGCAGTTAAATAAAAATAACAGTTCAAAAGTAAGATATGAGTTAAAATAAAACAAAGTATCTATTATTCAATCTAGTCTTCAGGAGTTACTGGAGTATATGGCATAGTATATATCCTACTTTATTAAAACCTTTGGGGGGTTAAAATAAGAAAAGCTACAGTTAATATAAAATCAAAAATCCTTGGAGCATTAAGGATCAACTCCAATAATAAGACTCACCATTCTCTCTGACCTGGTCAGAGAGAGGATGCAGTGGATGGTAATTAACACAACTCACAACTGATCAAAAAAGTATCTATAGCATGCTAGCCACAAATGGGACACCCCCAAGTCTCCCTAGCCTCCAGGCTCGGAGACCATCGCAGAAGAGGGAGCAGAAAGGTTCGAGAGCCAGAGGTCAGGGAGGAGCAGAACAAAACTGTGTCTTCTGAATGCAACAGGCCTTCTGCATCCATTTGTGTGAATGGCAACTGTGGTGCAGGATCAAGCCAGTCAACATTTTAACATGGAGGAGGAAGGGGTTCACCAGCCCCACCCCCCACCCCCAACTGAGGAGCTATGAACAGTTGGTGGCTTCTCGGGGAGGGAGAGTTGGCTTTCTTTAAAGATGTGACCCTTGATAGGTAGACCTTCTAGTGGCTGGCCCCATGAGCATATGAGCAGGGCATATTGGACTCCATTGGTTATTAAAAAGAAGACGAGGGGGAGAAAACAAGGGAGTGGATCTGGGAGGGATTGGGGGAGGAGTGGAGCGTGAATTTGGTCAAAATGGATTGTATGACGTTCTCAAAGAGTAAAAATATCCTAGATATCTTTCTCTGGGATCTATGCTAATAAGTATAATCCTCAACCCTCCTCAAGGGAATTTCTCTTGGCATCTCATGAAGACCATTATAGAAAATCCCTAGCAATCCAAATGTAGAGACACAACCAATACATCTATCACACAACTCCTAAGGCTCAGGGATCACTGTGAAAGGGGGCAGAAAGATTGTAAAAGCCTGAGGAACAGGACGTTTGTTGCGAAACGGTGTCTCCTAGAAGTGTCAGAAACTGCATCCATAAAATCTCACTGAAATGTGTGCCTAAACATAACCTGAATGAGGACTGCACCAATAGCCATGCTGATATCAGCTAGGAAAAGCTCAGGGGGCCTCAACAGTATGCAAAGAACTACAGGCAACTAAAGAGTGCTGAGATTGGGAGAATAGTATTTCCCAGAACAGCACACCAATTTGCTGATCTAATACCAAATGGGACGGACGGACACACACACACACACACACACACACACACACACACACACACACACGGGGTGTGCACATGTAAAAATAAGTTTTAAAAGGCCATGAATTTTAAAGAAAGCAAGGGAGGGGTACATAAGAGACTTGGTCAGAACAAAAGAAAAGGGAAAAATATGTAATTATAATCTTTATGTATGTATTTATATATAATATATTTACAGTCACAAAAAAGATTATTAGTAGAAAAGCATTTTTCCCAAGAAGTTATTTTTTATTAGTTCAAATTAGAAACAAGCCTGCATATACCCAAAAGAAGCACATTCATATAACAAGGACATATGTTCAACCATGTTCATAGCAGCATTATTTGTAATAGCCAGAAACTGGAAGCAGCCTAGATGCCCCTCAACCGAAGAGTGGACAGAGAAATTGTGGTACATTTACACAATGGAGTACTACTCAGCAGAAAAAAACAATGGAATCTTGAAATTTGCAGGAAAATGGATGGCACTCGAAGAAACCATTCTGAGCGAGGTAACCCAATCACAAAAAGACAAACATGATATGTACTCACTCATATGTGGACCTGCTTTATGATACATAGTAGTGACCATGCTTTATCAGAGCTGTTTTTAATGATGTTGCTCAGAATGGTTTCCTCCCAGATGATGACTGAGAAACTAATTTAAAAAAAAATGGTGCCAAGTACCACAAGAGTAACAGATCTGTGCTGTTTTCTGGGATTCTGTTTTTTACTTTGTTGTTGTTGTTGTTGTTGCTTGTTTGTTTTTTGTTTATAACATTCATGCTGAAGCGCTACAGAAACAATACTGGGTGGAGATGGAACTCTGGCTCAAAGGATTGTCACCAGAGGAATACAGTGCATACAAAGAGACACGAGCCAACTATGGTAAGGGAAAGAACTTTGCCAATTCCAGAGACATAAGCGCCAAGGGTCAACCAACACATCAGCAGACCACCGCAGCAAAAGAGATGCAAGTCATAAGCGCCAAGGGTCAACCAACACATCAGCAGACCACTTCAGCAAAAGAGATGCAAGTCAGGTCTGAAGAAATGCAAGAGCTGCTGGCTCCTAGAGGAGATTCCCGAAAGACTATTCAGGGCCATGATGGTGACTCCCAGGAAATCAGGAAGAATGTGATGGAAGATTCCAGCAGCTCCGCAGACTCCAGCAGCTCCTCAGACTCTAGCAGCTCTGCAGACACAAGCAGTACAGATGAAGGTGAAGATAATGGACATCTTCCTTAGAGGAACGCTAACATTGAGACTCCATTTTGCTCCCTTTCATATCCTAAATTGTTGTTAAAATCCCTGAGCATCCATAATTGTGCATGACTTTATTTATGAACTAAATAAATGAATGGAAAAAAAGTTAATTTTTACATACAAAGGATTTTTTACATACATTGTACCAGTAGCTGTCACATGTATGCAAAAAGACAGAATGAGATGTAGCATTAAAACCAGTGAGGTGAATTAGTAATGGCCAAATTCCCTGTTCTTAAACAAAAATTAACAAGTTGTGTGTAAGACTCCTTGAGTATCCCATCTAACAGTTACACAGGAATGGAATTTGTCTAGATAGAAAATGTGACAAGAATAACATCCAGTACTATGTACTAAAAGTGGCAGAACAAAGAAGTTAGAGTATTTAATGTGACATAATTGTATAATTATTGTCTTTGTGAAATTTGTAACACAGATTAATTAAAATATACCTTAATACATAAAAAAGATTTAAAATTCTGTAACTATTCTATTAAAACGGGCTTAAAATAAAAAAAAAAAGAAACAAGCCTGCTTTACATGTCAATCCCTTCTCCCCCTCCCTCCCCTCTTACCCCCACCCCCCACCAGCCCGTCAACGTTTCCTCCCTCTGCTCCCCAGGGAAGGTAAGGCCCTCCATGAGGGAATCCCCAAAGTCTGTCATATCATCCTGGGCAAGGCCTAGTCCCTCCCCCATATGTCCAGGCTGAGAGAGCATTCCTCCTCGTGGAATGGGCTCCCAAAGTCCTTTCTTACACCAGTGATAAATACTGATCTACTACCAGAGGCCCCATAGAGTGCCACAGCCTCCAAGAAAAACATTTTTAAGTTACATCAGCTTCTTAATTTTTGTGTTTCATTTTAAGAGAGAAATATTTTTGGCATACGGTCCAAAAGTTGCTAGTGAAAAATGAATCATTTTAAAATAGCTTTTACTTCTCCAAATTGATGTTAAAATTTCCATGTTGATAATGTATAATCACTTTTAGAAGTACACTCAGTTTGTGGAGTACCGATTTATACATTTTTACTGGACTTAAAACAGAAGGAGATACTCTAAAAGGATGTTTTGTTTTGTTTTTTACAACCCGTGTCAACTTTTAACTTCAGCAAGTCAGCGATATCACTTTAAGAAAGTTCCAAGGAAAAGCTGCAACGCGATCTAAAATTCCCACCTCTGGCTCCCAAGGATTGGGTTACACAGTTTGACAAAATTCTCTTCTCCACTCCCTATTGGTGAAGGCTCTATCATTCATTCTTTGGCCTGGAGTTTTGAGGCAGACAGGGTTGCTTTATGGAAAAAGGCTGTTGTGTTTAGGATGAAACTGCTCTATTCAGACTTGTTTATGGTTATCAGGCTGTAGAATCACCAGACTGATCCAGAGAGGCAAGACTGGCAAAGCAGACGATCAAGGGAACTGTGGAAAGGAAACGGAGTTTCTCTCCATCGGACTGGGTAAACCGACAAAGGAATTTACAACAAAGTTGGAGATACTGAGAGTTAAAGAAACTTTTCAGGTTGCTCTTGCTTTGTTGTTTTGCTAGTTTTAAGGGAACGTCGAGAGTAAACACTGTCGCCATCTGAGGGGGCAGGAAGAGGAGTTTTCAGAGTCCTTTTCTCTTTAGAATGAAGTTGGAAACACGATCCCCAGGTTATCAGTGGAGTTTTGCAAGGTAAACAAGATTAATTGTAGATTATTTTTCCTTCAAGAAAATGTGCTTTGCTGCTATCGTTGCTTTAATGTGGATTTAGTCATTTTATATTGTAATTTTTAAATGTGTATTTGTGTCTGTGCATTATAACAGATGAAATAAATAAGGCATCTATTTAGAGGAGAAAAATCACAATTGACTCAAATTGGGCAATGTTGTCCCAACCCTCGGGACGACAACCTAGGGCAAGATATCCAGGGAGGGAAATGGAGACAAGAGATGCAAGAGAATGACCACAAGACAGGATTCTGTTCAAGTGGCAAATTTTATTTTTCCCAGGCTAGCTTATATAGTCAGTATAGTGGGGTAAAGGGGAGGGGGAGAAGAAGCCAAGAGCCAGGTGTTAGTTCAAGCAGGATGTTAGAAAACTATAGAAGGAGGATGTTGGCAGGGTGAAAAGTTCATGGGTGGTAGGGTGAGGGAGGGTTACCTAGGTAAGTGGTGGGGTGAGGGAGGGTTGCTTAGGTAAGTGGGCCTGTGGTTGGAACAAAGGATTGACATCTGGATCATGTTGTTCTTTCTGGGTGCTCATGCTTCCAGAAGCCATTTATAATCAAAACACAGTTCTATAACTGTGTGGCCTGCCAAGTTTGGCCTAAAGGTTCATGCCAAGCTGTATGGCTCCCAACAAGGCAAATATTTGCAAAGTGGGAAACTGAGGGATGGATTTGCCTATGACCAAGCCAAACATAATTTGGTACATGCAACAGCATCAGCAAGCAGATGAATTCTCCCCAGAAAGAAATATGGTGTTTATATTTTCAGTAAAGATATTTAATTAATGTTATAAACTTCAGGAATATATTAGAATAACTGTTTCTTGCATTAACACTCTTAGTTCGCTATAAGGACATAAAACAATAAAACTACAGAAGATCATACCAAGGCTCTGGGCAAATGGGGCTCAGAGATTTTCAGTGAAAGAGTCCACCTACTTTCAATGTGCAGTGACCATGACAGATGCTAGGAGCTTCAGGGAGATCATCAAGGTGTTAGTACCTGTTCTCGAATGTTCACTAGGGAGGGAAGAAGGGAAGTGGCACCCCACAGTAGGGCTGCAGCCTGGGCAGAGCTGGCTGTGACTGCAGCAGGAGGTTCATTGAGAGCCTCCATCAAAGTGCCAACAATGCTTTATTTTGTAAAAAGAGCAGGAAGTTACACGAAGAGCCAGTCACTAGTAGAGTTGAGTTGACTTGTAGATTTTCAGTATGAAAACTGGTGTTGCAGCTTGATTGCACCAAGGCAAAGGCCAGAGCTCAACAATAAACTGGCATAGAGGTCTGCCTCCAGGTGTCTTGAGATATTTCACATAAGTATCTTTCTTTACCCTTATTGATTTACGTAAATCCTGATACATTTCCTTGTGGCCTTTGAAAAGCATTGAGCAATTTTAACTTGGCACCATGAATGTATATTTTCAGGTGTGGTGGTTGTGGCAGAATTAGGACAGTAAAGGTGATTTTTATTCCCACTTGATTTATTCTTTCCTTGAATGTGTTTTTCATGTTTATACTTAACTGATCTAAAGGAATCTCTACCCCACATCCAAAAACCACAAAAAGCCACTACAGGAAGTGTCACTTGAGCTATGTCTGGGACAAAACTCTGTTCTCCGTATGCTCGTTAAGCTGTTGTGGTACCCTAGAACTTCTGCTCAGATGAAGGGCCATCTCCTGCAAAAGAGTGAAGTGCTTCAGGACATTATCTTCAGCCTTGCACCAAAACTTACTCAAAGAATCTGAAACTCACATATCCTAAGATATCCAACAGTAGCTCCTTTTTCTTAGTTAGAAAAAAAAATGTTTAAAACAAGGAGTTCCCTTACATCTCCATAGAGGCAAATAATATGCTTTGAACGTTTTCATCACTTTAATTTTATTTCCTCCTCCATCCCCTTTATCCTTCCATATATCCAATTTCCCTGTTTATTTTCATGCCCCTTTCTCTCCTACTTTCTACACAGGAGAGGAAACATGCTGTATTTGCCTTTGTGAGACTGGCTTCTTTCTCTTAACATGCTCTTCGGTCCCATCCATTTCCCTGCAGATGGCATAATTTCATTCTTTATATCTGAATAAAACTGTTGCATACCTTTTCTTCATTGGCTGGTTCTTTTCAGGGCACCCATGCTGCTTCCATGACTTGCTCTTGCAGTTCAACAGACCCAGTTTACAGGTGTCTCTATAGGAAGCTAACCCATCACTGATTCCAAACTAGAAAGGAGAGAAGGGGGAATCTCTAGCTTAGAAACAGCTCTGACACAAGGTTGCCTTCTCACGGGCCATGTCCAATACCCAGCAAGCATTATCTACTTAAGTCCCTTAAATAGCACAGACCTCAGGATGTTAGAGAAGCAAAAGAAATGTGACAATATAAAAGTGACTTGTGCCACTTTTGGGCAGTAACAGTGAAAAACGCTCCTATATCCATTCCAATCTTTCTCAGCGTCTCCATGATTCCTGTTGATGTCCGAAGAAGCCTTTATCTCCATAGAATGGACATTCCCACCACCTGCTCCATCCTTTAAACAGCTTTTCCCCTGAGGATTTTGGCAATCCTTATGAACAATATCAAGAAAAATAATGGAAGGATACTTATGCGGTGAATTTGACTTTTAAACTAAATGCAATTTTAAGGGCTAGAAATGTTATTCAGTGGTAGAGAGATTGCCTAGCATGCATGAGGCCCTATGTTCAATTCGCAAGTAGGGGTTTAATTACTATAGCAGTGTTTCTACTATTTGGATCTTGTGTTAAAATTTATAGATAATATTTTTAGCGAATTATGTTTCTAAGAACAAACTCCAATTCCACAAGGAATGTGATGATGGCTCTATCCCAGAGAAAGGGATTGATATATATATATATATATATATATATATATATCCATTCCAAGATCTGTGTTAGCCAAGATTCTCCATGATTGTGGTGATGCCACAATCCGTTTATCCATTTTGGAGTTCACAGACACTTGGAATACTTGAAATATTTAGCTGTTACGACCAACTCTTCTAGGAGGATGTGTTTAAGCTTTTGTGTAGATATATTCTTCAGCTGTGTTGTATTTTCCTACAAGTAGATGCGTGCTGTGAGTCACATAGTAACTCTGTGCCTAACTTTTGGAGGAAGTATCACAGCTGTTTTCCAAGACAACCACACTACTTCACATTCTCACCAGGAGTGTGTGAGCTTTCTGGCTTCTCCATGTCCTTACCACCGCTTCTTATGTTCAGGTTTGTTATTGTTCTCAAAATTTGGTGACTGTGAATGAGTAGCTCCTTGTGATTTTGATAATGGTTAATGGGATTAACCATATATGCTTTTTAGCTATCCATTTATTTTCCTTGTTTAAAAAAGTTTCTATTCAAATATCTGACCTAATTTTCAATTGGGTGGTCATATTGTCATTGAATTGTAAATACTCTTTACATATTCCCTCATACTTTAAATTTAGCATTTAACTCTGAAGCATCAAGATGTCAATGTTAAAAAAAGAAAAGAAAAAGAAATTTAAAAAGCTGGGTGGTGGTGGCACACGCCTTTAATCCCAGCACTCAGGAGGCAGAGGCAGGCAGATCTCTGTGAGTTCAAGACCAGTCTGGTCTACAAGAGCTAGTTCCAGGACAGCCTTCAAAAAAAAAAAAAAAAAAAAAAAAAAAAAAAAAAAAAAAAAAAACGGAATAAAAAGAGAGAGAGAGAAAAGGAAAGATGTCAGTGTTGATGATGTCCAGCTAATCTGTCTTTCCTTCTCTCACTTGTACTTTAGAGTTGTATCCAGGGAACCCAAGCTCATGACCATTTATTCCAGTGTTTGGTCGGAGTTTTGTAGTTTTAGCTCTCAGGTTTAGGTCTCTGCTATACTTGGGGTTAATTTTTTATGTATGGTGTGAAGTTCATCGTCCTTCTTTGCATGTGCCTCTCCAGTTTTAGCATCATTTATTGAAAAGACTGTTCTTTCTGCCATTGAAATATCTTGGCATCTTTAGGGGATCGGGGAATACACAAGTCTCTCAGTTTGATCACTGACACTGGCAAAAAAAAAAAAAAAAAAAGGGTGACCATGTAAGTCATGTAAGTCAGGGTTAACTTTGGAAGTCTTTTCTTGGCCTTATGCCAGTGCCATGCCAGTTTGCTATGCTTTATCCCTGCTTCAACTGAGCTATGTTGGACAAACTAAAATTGTACATCTAAACTAAAAACTAAACACCACATGTTGTACAAGGTGATTTTTTAAAGAACTTTTTGTTCTTTATTTTTGAGTTTGAGATTGTATTTTAATCACAATATATATATATATATATATATATATATATATATATATATATATTCCTAAAAATAACCTGTTGCATCCATATAATGCTTGTACATTTTCAGGGCTGACTCTTTGGTCCTGGACTACTAATTGGTATGCCCTTCCTCTCTGGCTCCCAGCTTTCCTCAGTTGCCTGTGCAGTACTTTGTGCAGTCCTGAGGCCTCATAGGCTTGTCCCCATCCAGTTTGGTGTGTTTGTCGATGACTTCCTCAAAAGCTGTTTTGATACACCTGCAGCTTATATGGTGATTACCACAATCAAGCCGACTCACATAACCATCTGGCATAATTACTATGTTTACCTGATGTCAAGGATCTAGGACATTGTTTTCTGTAGTCACCATGCTGGTCATGACAGCTTGAGGATGCAGAACTGGCATTTTCCCTCTACAACAGTGTTTGATTACCATGCATTGGTTAGGGTCTCTTGTTTTGTTGTTTTTGTTTTGTTTTGCTTTGTTTCTGTGTAGTCCAGGCTAAGTGTAAACTCCTGGTCCTCCTGATTTACCTTCCTAAGTTTTGCTATTACAGATCTTTGCTACCATACCTGGCCAGCTTCTGTTTTGGAGACAAGGTTTCTCTGCGTATCTCTGAATGTCCCGCAGAACTCACTCTGAGGACCAGGATGGCCTTGAACTCACAGATTCGCCTGCCTCTGACTCCCACGTGCTGGGATTAAAGGCGTGTGCCACCACACCTGGCTTCTGGCTGGCTTTTTATAGTTTTTATATTAATACTAACTTTTAAATTTTCAAGTATGAATTACCTAGATTTCTCTTTTTTAGAGATTGTTTAATCTAGTTTGAGTTTCTTGCACTTCCATATGAACTTAAGTACAAAATCTTCAGTTTCCGCAAGGAAAAAAGACCACTAATATTTTGATAGGAATTATTTTGAATCTACAGATCAGTGAGAACACTGTGAAGCCTCTCATCCATGAATGTGGAGTGTTTCTCCATATAGCTAAGCTTTCTTTAATTTCCTTAATTTTCAGCGCATGTCTGAAAATTAGTTACTTTCACATAGCAATAATTAAATACCTGACAGAAATTGCTTAAAAGACCAAAGAGGTTTGCCCGCTGGGTTCATGGTTTCAGTCCACTGTAGGAACATGAAGGGACTCCTCATATGGCAGCAGATAGGAAGCAGAGAAAACAGGCTGGAATCCAGGGTGGTTATAGCCTTAAAGCCCACCCCTTGGTGGCCTGTTTTCACCACTCATACCACACCCACCTTCTAAAAGCTCCACAGTCTTCAAAATAGCCTGGGGACCTAGCATTCGAATATGAACCCATGGGCATCATTTCAGATTCAAACCATAGTATTCTTACTTCATTACATTTATTCATAAGGTGGTTTTTGTTTGTTTCTGTTTTGTATTTTTTTTATTGTTAATAGCCCACATTTCCTTAATTTCATTTTCAGGTTATATGTCGTTAGCATATATAAATATAATCTTTGAAGTCCTAGCACTCAGGAACCTGAGGCACAGCTCAGGTCCCAGTGAGAGACCATGTCCCAAGACAAACAACAATGAAAAACAAGGTGGATAACTCAGAGGAATGACACCTGAGGCTTACCTCTGGCCTCCAGGAGCACATAGAACTGCTCATATAAGATGGAGGTGAGGAGGGAGAGAGAAACAAACACGCCAGTGGCGTGGAGGTGCTTACAGGCAATCCAGCACTTGGAAGGCAGATCTGAGGATCAATACAAATTTAAGCCCAACCTGCTTGACAGAGTTTCATTCCAGGCCAACCAGGGCTGTGTAGTTACTTGCTTTTGAACAAATATATACAACAAAAGGTAAGAATAGAAACAATGGGAGAGAGAAGGAATGTAGCTTATTTCTGTGTAGCCTTTGAACTTACTGAACATGTTTAACAAGGCTAGTAGGAGTTTTCTTATTCATTGTCCCTGGATTCCTTATCTTCTGCATACAGGGTCACACCATAATAAAGTTGTTTCTTCCTTTCCAATCTGCATGCCTTTAATTGTCTTGCCTAGTTACTACGATCAGAATACAATCTTGAATACAGGTGTTAAGAGAAAACATCCCTTTCTTGTTTCCTGTCAGAAGAGGAAAGTATTCAGATACTCACCATATTAGCTTGTCAGGCATGAAGGCAAATATCTGTTGACAGAAGTTTCTGTCCTGCCGGGTCCCACAGCCCTTCAGTCCCAAATAAACACACAGGGGATAATATTAATTATAAACTGTTTGGCTGATGGCTCAGGCTTCTTATTGGCAAGCTCTTTCTCTTTCTTAATTATTAACCCATTTCTATTAATCCATTTATCTCCATGTGATCTTGGCTTACCAGTTATGCCTGGGTCTCTTGCTTCCTTGGCAGCTACATGGCATCTCCCTGACTCTGCCTACTACCTTTCTCTGTCCCTGTTTGGATTCCCCACCTGCCTAAATCCCATTTCTATTAATCCATTTATCTCCATGTGATCTTGGCTTACCAGTTATGCCTGGGTCTCTTGCTTCCTTGGCAGCTACATGGCATCTCCCTGACTCTGCCTACTACCTTTCTCTGTCCCTGTTTGGATTCCCCACCTGCCTAAATCCTGTCTGTCCATTGGCTGAAACAGCTTTATTCATCAACCAATAAGAGAAACATATATTCACAGATATATATACAGAAGGACATCCCCCATCATAGTCTCAGTATGTGGGAGATATGAGCAGGAGAATGGTCGAGGCCAGACTGGACTACATAATAAGATTCTGGACCTAGCCGGGAGGGGTGCAAAGAGACAGAGAGAAACTGGCTGGGTTGGCAAGGTACCACATGCAAGCATGATGCCCTGATTTTGGATCCCCAGCACACATGTAAAAGGCCAGCCGTGGTAGCTCTCTGTATATTCCCAGAGCTGGAGAAGGGGAGGCAAATGTATCCTTCAGTCACTGGTCAATTGTTCTAGCCAATCAAGTTTGAAGTTCAGGAGAGATCTTGTTTCAAAAAATAAGGTGGAAATTGATTCAGGAAGACATGGTACATCAGTCTCTGCCCTCCATATGCACAAGCACACATATGCACACACATTCACACAAACACGTACTTAAACACGTACCTCATATAGATGGCTACAAAGTGGAGTCAGAGATAGGTTGATAAACGGTAGTTTATTGGGGGAAAGTACTCATGCAAGGGAGCCAGTGACCAGGTTTGTACCTGAGCAGGATGGACCCAGAAATGCTTCCTAGCCAGCTTCTTAAACCTTTGTTACATAACTTTGACCATGCCCAAGAAGGCGTGGACAGCGGTACCTCTAATGAGGATTTCTCCCTACAACCTCACACACATAATCACCCACATTTAAAAAGAAAAAAAGAATAAGAAAAAAAATTTTCCCTGAACCTACTTATTGCAATGAAGAAGTGGTTTTCTTCTCTGTGAATATAGTACATAGCTCATGTTTTGTTTTGTTTTGTTTTTTGAGACAAGGTTTTTCTGTGTAGCCCTGGCTGTCCTGGAACTCACTTCATAAACCAGGCTGGCTTCGAATTCACAGAGATCTGCCTGCCTCTGTCCCCTTAAATGCTAGGATTAATGGTGTGCACCACCACTGCCCCAATCATATGTTAACCCAACTTTCCATTCTCTTAATAAACATTTTGGCCACAGTATACGGTCCTTTATCTATGTTACTACATCTGAGGTTCAATATACACTTACAGAAAGATACTGATTTGCTGTGTCTGTTTGTCTGGCTGGCTTCATATCCCGCTTTTCAAAAGGCTCCACTGTTTGTAAGGCCAGTTTTGGTGCTTTTTGTTATGGCTTGGTAGAATTCACTAGTGGAGCTACCTGGGCCTGAATTTGAGTTAATGTAAATATTTTAAATTATTACTCTGGATTTCTTAGGGGTTGATCATATTTTCTGTTTCATTATTTAACCTCAGTGTTTTGT